AGGAGAGGAGCCCGGCATGGCAGCCTAGGCAGTGCCCCTTGTCCAGACTTGATTTTATTAATAACTTTTTTACTAGCAGATGAAATCCTGGGTTTCATCATGACATTTTCATGCATGTTTATCATTGTACTTTGATCATATTCACCCCAATAGTTAAACAACAGGCAGTTCACAACAACCTGTAACTCCAGCTCCAAGGGGAGCGATCTGATGACACCTCTGGCCTCCATGGGCTCCTTCACACACACGTGTGCATACCCACACCCAGACACTTATGCATAATTCTAAAAATAAACCTTGAAAAATAAATAAGTCAGATGGGCAAAGTGGCACACGCCTTTAATCTCAGCCCTCGGGAGGCAGAGGCAGGAGGATCTCTGTGAGTTCGAGACCAGCCTGGTCTACAAGAGCTAGTTCCAGGACAGCCTCCAAAGCCACAGAGAAACCCTGTCTCGAAAAGCAAAGAAAAACAAACAAACAAAAATATGAAAAAAAAGAATATGGAAACTGACAAACAAATAAAAACAGGACTAAACTGTCTTCTGTTAAAGTGGGAGAGACAAGTCTACAGGTCTGAATTTTTGTAGAGCCCCAAACATTTCTACTGCTGGTTATACTCAATATGCCTGTGAAAAGTTGTGATCCTAAATAAGTACACTTGTTATATATCAATTAAAATATCTTAAGCAGGGGCCAGGAAGATGGCTCAGCCAGTAATGGTGCTCACTGCATCTTACCCTTGGCAACCTGGGTTTGATCCCTGGAACCCATGGAAGGATGGAAGACAGAACTGACTATTGTCCTCTGACCTGGTGATGTGACATGGCCCACACATCATCATGCCTGCACATACATACATATAACAAAAATAACGATGATAATAATAATAAATATAAACAACATATCTTAACAAAGAAAGGTTGTACCTTACTGTCTCCCACAACCAGTTTGCCCTTCAAGGGTGAGAACATAATCTGATCTTGGAAAGGAAGGTGTTTTATCCAGCTAGTGCAGCTGGACTGCTGCAGGAGGCGCATGCTCAGAAGAGTGTTGTGTGATGTTTTTGCTCTTGTGGCTTTCTGAGGGGTCCACTACCCAAGCTCCCAAATAAATCATGTACAGATGCTTATTATTCGTTATGACTGCCCAAGCTTAGATTGGCTTGCTGCTAGCCAGCTTTTCTTAACTTAAATTAGCCCGACTACCTTTTGCCTCTGGGCTTTTTCCTTTTCTTACTTCTGTGTATCTTACTTTCACCCTCACTCCTCTGCTGGCTGGGTGTCTGGGTGTCTGGGTGTCTGGGTGTCTGGGTGTCTGGCCCCTGATGTCCTCCTCACTTTGTTCTCTTATTGCTGCTCCTCTTCTGATTGTCTCCTTCTATTTATACTCTCTGCCTGCCAGCCCCACATATCTTTTCTCCTGCCTCGCTATTGGCCATTCAGCTCTTCGTTAGACCATCAAGTGTTTTAGACAGGCAAAGTAGCACAACTTCACAGAGTTAAACAAATGCATCATAAACAAAAGTAACACTCCGAGTGTTGGTGGCGCACACCTTTAATCCCAGCACTCAGGAGGCAGAGGCAGGCGGATCTCTGTGAGTTCAAGGCCAGCCTGGTCTCCAGAGCGAGTGTCAGGATAAGCTCCAAAGCTACACAGAGAATCCCAATCTCAAAAAACAAAAACAAAAACAAAAACAAAAACAAAAGTAACACACCTTAAGATAATATTCCCCAGAGGAGGTCAGGGAAGGGGGCTGCTTCTTCATGCCAGCAATTGTTCAAAGCAATCTGGTATCATAAGATCTTGACAGAAATCATAATATATGCTAAGACCGATACTGAAAAGCTGTGTGGCCATAATACCAAACTCTTCACTGAAAAGCAGAGTTATAGAAGATTGTCACTGACTTTGTTTGCTTTGGGGGTTTGGGAGTGTAGGGGGCTTGGTTTTGTTTTTGTTTTTTTTTAATGTCTGGTGTATGGTGAGCCACCCTTTTTTTTTTTTTTTTTTTTTTTTTTTTTTGAGAAAGTGCCCCATATATGCATTCCATGATGGCACCAAACTGACCCTGAACTTCTTCAACTCTCTTTTGGGAAGGCGTTTGGTTTTTTGAGATAGGGTTTCTCTGTGCACCCTTGGCTGTCCAAGAACTCGATTTGTAGACCAGACCACAAACTCAGAGATCCAGCTTGCCTCTGCCTCCAGAGTGCTGGCATTAAATACATGTGTTACTACCACCCAGCTGACCCTGAATTTCTCATCCTCCTGCCTCCACCTCTGGAGTGCTGAGATTATAGGTATGCACCATCATACCCAGGGCTTGGATGGAACACAGGTCTTCATGAATGCTAGACAAACTCTTTACCAACAGAGCCAGATCCCAAACCCCTATTTTTTTTTTTTAATCTGAGCAAGGATTTCACTGTGATGCTCAGACTAACCCTTAACTCAAGGTCCTCCAAGTGCATCCTCCCAGGCACTGGCATTACAGGTATATACCATTGCACCTGGCCCTGCTAATGGTCTTCTCACAAAGTTGAACATGCCAGAACGCACATGTGTGTGTGTGTGGGGGGGGGGGTAGGGGTGTGCATCCTAGGCAAGCACTCTACCAATTGAGCCACATACCCAGACTCCTCCCATTTTCTTATCCTCCATGATCACCTCTTAGTTGTTACTTTTTCATGTTGTTTATATATCTGTTCTGTTATTCTAGACACATCCACAGAGATTCTTCAAAGATTAATATTGTTTATCCAGGGAAGATATGTATGATAGTAAACTATGTGAGTACTCAAAAATGTTGAGGCAGGGATAGCAAGATGGCTCAGTGGATAAAGGCACTTGCCAAGGGGTCCCATGACCTCTAGGCCCACATGGTGGAAGGAAAGAACTAACTCTTGTCAGGTGACCTCTGACCTCCACATGTACACATAAATAAATAAGTGAATAAACAAATGTGAGTAAATAAAAAGGTTGAGGCGGGGAGAGGTCCTGATACCATGGCCATTGGCCACAGGATGAAAATCAGGATGGTGAGGGATGGGAGGCACCTCAGTGGGTAGAGAGCTTGCTGTTTGATCTCCAGCACCTACGTAAAAACTCAGGGAAGGCAGAGTGTGCCTGGAATCCCACTGTGGAGGAGATGCAGGCAGGAGATTCCCTGGGGCTTGCTGGCTGGCTAGACAAATCAGTTTAGTCAAAGACCCTGCCTCAAATGAATAAAGTGGAGGGGCCCAAGAGTTGGCTCAACAGTTGAGAGTAAGTACTGCTCTAGCAGAGGACAGAGTTCCATTTCCAGTACCTAGGTTGGGTAACTCACAGTAACTCCAGCTCCAGGGCTTCGAAGCCCCCTGCTTGCTTCTGAGAGCATCTGCACACACGTGTATTCACACACCTACACAGACACACATTCATACACATAAATGAGGTGGAGAGCAATAAAGGACATCCTTCTTTGGCTTCCAAATACATGTGCACATCACGCACACACACACCCCCCCATAGTGGTGAACAAACACACAAGTGCATGTGCTCACACACTAACATGTATGGGCCAGCACAACGGATCTGACTGAAGGGCTTGATGATTGTCTTTTAGACCAAGTTTCTTCAGCAGAAAATGGAGGCTTGTAACAGATGCACTGTGAGGCTGAGGCTGCACAGAAAACAGCTGAAGCACAGCCCTTCGAGGTGAGTAGGCATGCTTCTATTTATAGCTCAGCAGTGCACTGATCTAACATAAAAGAAACCTATGCATTTTGACATCATATACCACTTGAGTTATGCTACTAGGGCAAAGGCAGGTAAAGCCCCACAACTCTTCCCTGGGAGCGGGTCCCAGGGCCCCTCCTCACCTGCCCAATGCAGCCAGGTTCCATGTCACCAAAGTTCAGAAGACCTTGTGGTGTAAATACACATGAAATTCAGTTTTTATTTAAAGAGCCTAATTTCTGGACATTTATTTGGGGGATTACAGCGGTGGCTTGAGCGACTTGCAGATATTATAAGTTGAAGCCTTGCCTTCACTCGGCTGCTAAAGTTTAATTCACTCTAATTATTTCATATGGCATCGACTATAATAGTTTCATAATTTCTAGTATATTAAGCACTTAATATGTTGTGTCATTTGAAATCACATATTAAATTCAGCAAAGTACATTTTAATGAGAGTTAAGTGGTGTGAAAATATTAACACAATGTGATGGTTCATCTTGGCACTCTCATTTTCTGGTTTTTCAAGTCTTTCCTTATGGGGGATGGGGACAAGTGACTCCTCACCAGGTAAGGGGAGTGGTTCTCTGGGAGAGGGTGCAGACCTCTCTGGATTATCCAATGCCCTTTCTCATCTGCCCCCCCCCCCCACTGCCCTAGCCCTGGCCAGCAAGGTCAGGAATTCCATCCTGGAAGAGAAGTCAGCCTGGAACGTGGAAAGGCTTGGTTCAGGGTGATCCAGAGTCAGCAGAGGGGCCACTGGGACTATTATGAAGCAGTTTCCTGCTGTGTACCACAGCCACTGTCAGTGTGCCCAGGGGATGAGTGACATCAGAGTCCTTGGTGCCAATATCTGAAGGAGCAAATGAAACAGACATGCTGACTCAGGCAGAAGCTAACAGGTCTGCCCTTAGATTCAGCTCCTCCTCCTCTATTTTTTTTTTTAAACATTACCATTGTGTGTATATGATGGGGGCTTGTGCATGCTCCATGGCACACATGTGGAAGTCAGAGGGCAATCTCTCTCCTCCCATGTGGTTTCCAGAGCCCAAAGGCAGGTTGACAGTCTTAGGTGACAAGCACATTACTTGCTGAACAATGTCACCAGCTCCCCACCACAAACCATTTTTTTCTGACTTTTGAGACAGGGTCTTGTGCAACTGAGGATAATCTTTACACACTTAAATAATTAAAATTTAATAAAAATGCTGGATGTGCTGGTGCACATCTTTAATCCCAGTGTTCAGGAGGCAGAGGCGGGCAGATCTCTGTGAGTTCAAGGCCAGCCAGGTCGTGAGTTCCAGGACACCAGGGCTACACAGAGAAACCCTGTCTCAAGAAAAAAAAAAAAAAAAAAGGAAGAAAGGAAGGGAAAAAGAAAAGAGAACAAAAATTAAACCTGGTCTGTATTCTCTCACTCAGGTGGTGGGGAAGCCACACCCCAAACAGGACTAAGTCACCATACCTTGTCCCTTGGGGTTCTGCAGCCCAAGGCAATCAGGGAAGACTATCCACATTTCTGTCTGCAGACATCTCAGGTCTGCAGAGTGGAGAGAAGTCAATGACCCTGAAGGGTACAGAGGCTCTGCTGCCACTGTAGCTCCAAGATAGCTGGCAGAGCCAGTCCTGGACAACACCCGCACTTCTCTGCTTTAGTGCCTATGTCCTGGGAGAATGGGACTTCCTGTGAAGTCATGATCCACTTGATTCTCCCCGGAAGGGGTTCCTTCATGTGACCTCTCCTCCAGTCTCATACCACATCCATTCTGTCTCCTCCATGCACCCATTATCTGTTTTCTGAGGCTGGAATCTGTCTATACAGAAGAGAGGCTTATACAGCTTACAGTTTGGGAGTGTTGAAGTCCACGACTAGATAGCCCCATCTGCTCGGTCTTTGCTGACGGTAAATTTGGGTACATCACCACACAGAGGGCAGCATCCTTTAGCAGGCCTCCATGGTCTGCAATAAAAGTCACATAGTGAGAGGAAGCCAAGGAAACCAAATTGGCAGAACAACCTACTCTCATGATAAATAATCCAGACCTTTGCCAGTCCCAGCACACCAGTAATTCAGTTCTGGGAGGAAAACATTCATTTCTTCAGGAGCAGCGGTGCCCTGTGGCTGAATTTCCTTCCGTTTGTTTCCACCTCTGAATGAAACTTTAGGCCCAAATCACAGTAGTGTCCTCCACTACTGTTGGGCCTTCCAGGCTGAGGAGAGCACTGTTCTCCTCAGCAGGCCTGAAATGACCTGGTCTACAGTAGCTCCTGCAGATCCTTCTGGGGCTGTCACACCTCAAGGATGACCACCATGTTCATACCCTTGTAAAGCAGGACACAAAAATAATATAGGAGTTTAAATTTTATTACCTTTTGTGTGTGTGTGTGTGTGTGTGTGTGTGTGTGTGTGTGTGGGTGTGGGTGTGGGTGTGTGCCATGGCAAATGTGTGTGGAGGTCAGAGGACAACTTGAGGTCAGAGGACAACTTGTGAGAGTGAATCAGCTCTCTTTTCCATCATGCGGGTCCCAGGGATCAAACTCAGGTCATCAGCCTGATTACCCACTGAGCCATCTCGGAATTTTTACATTTTGCTAATTATGTTCTCTCAGGAAAGCCCTTCAGTTACACGAGCACAGCAGCATGTCAAGGCTCAACAAGACATTAGTAGCAAACAGTCTTCGTTCAAGCTAAAACAGAATTAGAGCCAGAAAGAATGGAACTAGAATCCAGATAGATTCCTCTGCTTCTGGACCAGAAAAAGCAAGCAGACAAGAAACCAAACAGACCACTCCGGCTTAAAATAGCCTAGATCGGTGAACAAGAACTAGGTCTGTCAATGCTGGCTTGCACATTAAGGCATTTATGAACCCACCGGCTGTACCTGTCACCGTAACGCGTGTGCGCAGCCACTGTGTCGAAAAGGTTCCCTTCTAAATATGTGAATAACTAACGCGGGTGCTGATTGAAGTTTAGCATCATCTCCCATCAGTGCTATTACTGTTTGGTTATTTGCAATTCCCTTTTGTAAATCCGAGGGAAACATCATTGCCCAAATTAGCTCTTTTCACTCAATATAGGCCATTATTAGCATTCTGAGTTTTGCAGTTGCTTACTGCTTATTTAGAGAGAGGTCACGTGAGAAGCTGGGCAACGTGCACCTGATTTCCATCTCATTGAAAACAGGTAGGGAGGCTGGGGACTCAGCTCCAAAAGCCAGGCCTGGCGCTTCTCTGCCACAGTGGATGGACGGGTCCTTCTAACCGAACGCAGGCCGAGCACTGGGGAGCGGAACTGACTCCAGTGGCTTTTCCTGGTGGTCTCTGACCCTATCCTCTCAGGGCTGCTTGTGTATGAAGTCATTGTTCAAAGGTCTCCTCCCTTTGTGGCCGCCCACCCTAGGGGTGGTCACTCAGTGACAAACACAACCCGACATAGTCCTTCTCTGCGTGTGTCTGGCTCCCTTGCTGGCACCCGAGCTCCGTGCTCTCTCTCTCCCCTTAAAAAGTGTGTGGCGACCTGTCGGCGCTCCAGGTTTGTCAGAGCAAAGAAGGAAGAGAGGAAGATGAGTCTAAGCTTGAGAGTAAATGTCTAACCATGAACGGTGGGGAGGGCTGCTCTTTCTTCATTGTCCTGCTATGCATGAGAAAAGACCGGCCTCTGAATAAGGCTTGCCTCCAAATCTCAACTTCTTTCTCGTCGCGCAGGACCACTTGGTTTAACCTGCCGGGAAGCCTCAATTTCCTAATTTGCAAAGTGGGTGGAACTGTACCCATTAAAGTCCCTGGCCCTTGGTAAACGCAGGAGCTAGAGCGTGCCCTCCCCGCAGCTACCGCCAGTCGCGGGTCACACTGGGTCCCCAAATGGACACCCCTCTTTCCCTCGGCTCCAATGATAGGGCGCGGTTTTCGACAAGCCGGGGGGTGGAGGTGGGGGGGGTGAGGCAACTCACACACCCTAAGCACCCAGAGCAGGCCACCGTGGGCAGCCGCATCACTGGTGGAGTTTCCGAGGCAAGGCCGGCTTGACGAGCCACGTGCAACCTTTGCCCAGCCCTTCCAAGTGGGGTGGGTGGACACTTTGGCGCCTTGTCCCGAGGATTCACTGGCACACTGCTGAAGCACCCCAGAGCGAACTCCGCGCGGTCAGGCGCGTGCACAGCGCGCATCACGTGACTACGGGGCCGCGCACTGATAGGCCCGGAACAGGTTTGTTTCCCATCGTCCCTTCATTTGCATATACAAGTAGAAAAGAAGCTGCGGACATAACTGATACTCTACATCTAAACTAAAGAAAAAAATTACAAAATTTCAGCATAGAATTCAGAAGGCACTAGTTTATAAAACAATTGTATGTATAAACATAGTACATGATCCTCACCGTAAGTGTAAAAGTTACAAAAATTTTGCCCCTATATACTTCCTGAGAGGACCGCTAGTTTGTGCTCGCTTCGGCAGCACATATACTAAAATTGGAACGATACAGAGAAGATTAGCATGGCCCCTGCGCAAGGATGACACGCAAATTCGTGAAGCGTTCCATATTTTTCTTCCTAATTTTAAATTTCATGTCCACAACAGCCTCCAAAACATTCTTCACGTTTTAACTTTTGCTTGACTCAACGGAACCACAGTCCTCAAAGAAATAAGAAGAGGGGTCTAGACAAACCCATCTCTTTGCAGTGTGCCTTATCCATGGGCTTCCTTTGCAACTTGTGATTTATTTTGTTTTTGAGATAAGTTTCACACATCGCACACTGGCCTCGAATTTGCTATGCAGTCTAGGATATCCTCAAACTCTGGATCTTCCTGCTACCACCTCCCCGTTGCTGCTACCACACTGGGCTCCAGCTTGTCTCTCCTGCCCTCCTCACTAAACTATTAAGGAATGGTTCGCCAAAGCTGTTCACTTCAGGTCCCAAAGCGCAAAGACGTAGAGTCACCTGGGCGAGACTGCAGGTGTTTGAAAAAACTAGGCCTGACATTTCTGAAGAGCCACTGTGGAAGCAGAATTTCCTGGTCCTCACATTATTCAACCACCAAATAACTAATAAACAATTAGCACAGAAATCCTAATTAGCAAGATCAAGAAGGAAGAACTGCCCTCCCCAAGTTCAAATTTCCTGGCCTGACTTATTCAAATCTTTCTGAACTTCCATTTCTTCCCCCAAATCTTTCCACTTCTTCCCCCAAAGAAAAATGATGTATGTGCTTCGCTGGTTCCTGAGCCCGCGGGTGAGCTTTGCAGCCCCCTGGGACGCTAGTGGCTCCTGAGCTCGCCACAGGGGCACCTGTGGTCAGAACCGAAGACGGACTAGACGAACTCCTCAGGCACCCACTGGCTGCGGAGTAGCGGTCCACTCGGTAACTATTTCTGTTTTCGTCTGTGGAGGTGACAGGACCCTTTCCCGATCTGTGGGAGTCCTTGCACCTTGGCTCTTAGCCTTCCTCTACGAACCGACTGGAGGACAATTCTGTTGGAATCAGATGTCCCGTTTTGCTGGTCCACAGTTTTAAATTATCTCCCTAGTGCTGCCAAAGACACTACGGATACTAGTATGGCGCTCCCTACTGTAGTAAGGACTGACAGGATCATTTGTGTTGGAATGGAATGGTATAGGAACCCAACTGCTCCGAGGAACTCCCTCATTCTTCACAACGTGTTCCCTCATTCTGTAGGGGCATGCAGTTATTAGAGAAAAATCTAAAGTTCTGGCGGTGCCTTTCCTGGCTTTGTTCTAACTTGCTCGAAGAATTTGAGCCAATCCATCATCACACTGGCCACCTGTAGCCAACCAATGTTGGTACCTTAGGATATCTTTCCAAGGGGTCTTTGTGGCTTCAAGTGTCTCCAGAAAGTCCGGAAGATATCCTTTCCTGGGCCCTGGAGGAGTGGAGGGCCACAGACTGGAAAATGCACTGAGAGTGTGTAGTGGCCTTGTCACACACAGATATACCAGCTCTAATTCTATCACACATGCATCAGCTCTAATTCTAGCACACACAGATACACCAGCTCTAATTCTATCACACACAGATACAGCAGCTCCAACTCCATCACACACATACACCAGCTCCAACTCTATCACGCAGATACATCAGCTCTAATTCTATCACACACAGATACAGCAGCTCCTACTCTATCACACAGATACATCAGCTCCAACTCTATCACACACAGATATACCAGCTCTAATTCTATAACACACAGATACACCAGCTCTTGTTTTCCAGGACTGCCCTCCAGGCTTTTCATGCATTAGCTTACTACATGTACAAACTAGTTGTATGAAGTCATGTTATGGATGAAGCAGAAACACAGAATTCCAACAACAGGTCCCACATTGCACAGAGAGGCAGTGGAAACAGTGAACATGGTTATAGAATTTGTGCTCTTAGCACAGCACTGTGGCCTCTGGATGAGGAGGGGCAGATGAGGCTGTTTAAAATGAATGGAAGCAGGGAGAGGGTGAGAAGTTTTGCTTCTACTGGTGATCTGGACTCTTGGTGGGAGTTGCATCTGCAGAGGATCAAGATTACAGTGTATGGCAGGGTAGCTGGCAATGCCTGGGTGAGACATAGCTGGGACAGGAGGAAGGTTTTCCTTTCCTAGGTTGACAATACCCTACCCCAACACTAATCCTATTGATGAAGAATCTTCTTTGCGAGCAGCAAGCTTGCATTTAATTAACCTTATGTAAATGAGCATAATTGCTTCTCTGTGGTTGTTGTCCAGAAGCACCTGGGCATTCCTTCCCTCACACATTTCCAGCACCTGGATGAACTATCTGCTTCATGTGGACGTCCTCATCCACGGGGGCACTTCTTGTGCCTGTGGTGTACCATTGGAGGTGGCAAGGAAGAACAAGGTGTGACCTCAGCTGTGGAGGTACTTGCAGTCTCCTGGGACTCCCTGCAGTCTCCTGGGACTCCTTCAACCAAGGATAACAAGGAGGAGAGTGCACTGCTAGACCCAGGAACCCAGAGCCCTGAGAACTCAGACATTAGCTGTGACCAAGGAGGTTAAGGAACCCATTGGCCTATTGGCAGAGGAAGCAGAGGTGGGAAGAAATTCCTGGTGTCTCAAGGGCAGAAAATAATCTGTCTACTAAGTCTCTTGCCGCACTGGTGGAGAGGAACAATCTCCCCACACTGCTCCCAGAAGGGATGGAATTCCTCTGGCCAAAGTGGTGGGGAGGTGGAAGGGACATGTTTACATGTTTACCTGTATTCTGTCTCCAGAGTCCCGTGGAGAACTCGAGGAACAGGGGTGTCAAACCAAACACCAGAAGAAAAACTCTGTGAGACATTCTGTGCCCAGTCTCCCTGAATTCTGCAAACCCACTTTCTCCGCTAGAGTGAAGGTAACCGAGTCCTGGCCGTGAAAGCTGACTGGTAATGCCTAGAGTTCGTCGCAAGGTGGCAACATTGTGGCGAGAAATAGATATTAAAAATCCTGGGTGTTTTTTAAAGCATATTTTCTCTATTAATGTTTCATTTAACTTAATTAGAATCTGGTAAGCTAATTAAAGTAGCTACGAGCCCGGCAATCAGCAATAATTCGTATAATTATTGATAATTACATCCATACCAATCGTTTGGTTATTAACATTTTGGGGAGGAACAAGCCATTTCCAACTGATGTGGAGCCCAGGAGGGTTTCTGTTTTTGTTTTTTTGTGGTTTGTTTTTATTTTTTACGCGATGGAACTTTCTAGGTCGGATCCTCCTACACCTCCAATCTTCAGAGACTCCATACCACCCGAGGCTTCCCTTTTGGGCAGACTCAGGTCTCTGTATACTTTACTCCGCTTTGGGGAAGTTTGGAGGGAAAGGCGAGAAAGGAATGTTCACCAGTCTCCTTTGTTGGTGTGTAACCACAGACCTTCCTCTTAGGTGGGAATTGCCCTGCCCATTTTACAGAAAAGGATTGTGCGGCTTCCAACTGTGCCTTTAGGCGTTGGGAAAGCGACCTGCAAGCCTGCGTGCGCTCTGGGGTTCTGTCCCTGGCAGCGCCCTGGGAACGGAAGTCACTTCCTAGTAGATCTCACTTTCAAAAAGGGTGCAGCCCAGATGTGAAAGGGCTGGTAAGCATACCTTCTTCATTTCACCCATAGGTGAACTATTCCAGTTCCCCCGGAGGGTCTGAGAGAGGGAAGAACAAGGTGGAGCCTCACAGTTTACCTGGAGCCCTCACCGCTTTTATTTCCACCCTATCCTATGCTGATTTGGCCCTGGCCATATCCCAGGCTTGAAGGTCCGAAAGCCCCAGCACAGGACTGTTCTCTTCCGAGTGTGGGACTCAGCATCTGCTTCTTTTCCCCATTGCCCAGACTGTGTCCTAGCATGCACCTCAAGAGACCTCCAGTGAAACTCCCTGGTGCGAATAGTTAGAAACACTCCGGAGAACTTCGAGACCCGACTTCGCCTCTAAGGTCCCCCAGAGAGTTCTTGGAGCTAGCCTGGGATTCTAGTCTGAGAACCGGGTCTTGGAGATGGTCCTGGTGGCGGCCTGCAGATGGGTTTCCGTCTTGGAGTGCTTCCTTGAGCCTCAGGGCACAGACAAACCAATGTCATTTAATGGAGATTGGAAAACGAGGCCCCGGAAAAAAATAAAGGACTCAAAGCAAGACCTTTGCTAGCCAGAGGAGGGCATGAAATCCAGTCTGGGCTGAAAATTCGTAAGGGAACCCGCTTTCTCCATTCCTACCTCCACACTGCTTGAGGGAGGGGTGTGTTCCCTGCAGTTTATTTTTTGTGTCCCAACCCAGCAGGTGCCTTGCAGAAACTGAAGCTAGCAGCCACTAGGTGAGGCTTCACAGTCCTGGGCCACACACAGCCTAAGAAGCGTCCCAGCCTTTTTATCTGCGGCCAGCAGGTCTCATTTTCCTTACTGGGGTCCTCCAGTTGCGCAAATCGGCTAGGACTAGGAGGGAGAGGTCATTAAAATGAGGACAGAGCTCCCTCCTTCCGGATAGCGACAGGCCGCCGTAGCAGGGCATCTGGGCAGCGACCTCAAACTCTCGCCATCTTTTCCCCATATCTGTCCCACCAAGATCCACTCTATGTCCTTCACTCCTTACCCCCACCCGGCCAGCGCTCCCAGGTCAGGTCTACGGTACTCGCATCAGCACCAGCAAGCAATTTACCCTGGGGTCCCTAGCAACCTTGAGAGGCTCCCTTGCTGAGTTCACCCCAACCCAGGCAAGTGACTTCACACACAGGAGACAAAGTTAACTTTCCCGTTGTACCAGCAGAGCGTGGGAAAGAAAGGACCACTGTCCAAGGAATCAGGCAGCAGTCGTCTTCCCCAGCTAATGCCCAGAGGAGAGCCCTGCCCCAGAGGCCTGTGAGGGAAATCAGGTGTATCTAGGTGCGTCAGTAGAAAGGTCGGGAGCACTATGCCGTCTCCTCAGAGAGCAGCAGCTCTAAACTTGACCATTGGTCTGCACTATGCATTTGAGTAGCAGTATTTTTCACCAGCCCCTCCCCTTCCTCCACCACCGCCTGGGCACACTCCCAACTCCGCAGCCCCAAAGAGTGACAGAATTTTTTTCTTTTTATTAAAAACAAAAGTCACGGATACAGGTCTCCCCAAATAGGCTCAAGATGGTCGCCATCTCGTGAGTCAGTTGTCGCCCTTTTAAAGTGCTGTTACGTTACACAACAACAACAACAACAAAAACAAAAACAAAAACAAAAACACACAAAGCAAAATCTAAAGAGGAATGAATGCAAAATGAGGACTGGAAAGGGCCCCGGGGGAAGTAAAATAACTTACAGCATAAATAAACTGAACCTAATACTGAACCAAGAGACTCACAGTCCGTTTATATCCATTGCACATAGCCACGTTGTCGTTAGGAACAAGAGTTTCAGAAGTGGATGGGACGGGGAGCGCGCGGCTGCAGCCAGCGAAGATGCTACATTTTATTCACAATCCGGGTCCCGGGGGACCTACTCAGGCCGGAGTGGGGTGTGTGTGAAAGCGTTCTCCCCTCTCCGGTTTCTTTCACTGGTGGGTCTAGTTTACCCTTTGAGGTCTGATGCCCTGGAGTTCAAAGGAGGGGCGAGGCAGTATTTACAGTGGAAAACCGAGCCGGCCCCTGATGGGGACCAGCGGGCAAGCGACTGTATTTACAACGGTCCGGTCCTAATGGCTTGTTCCTCGCTCTGGGCCACCACGGCAGCGGGTATTTACAGAAAGGAGCAGCATGGCTTGAGGGCGCGTGGGCGCGGCCAAGTCGGTGCTATGGCAACAGTGGGGGCTTGAAGGAGCAGTTGCCGGTGCAGTGCCGGGGTGTCAGCATCTTGCAGGAGAAGTGATGGAGGGCATCGTGAGCTTCTGGAGAGAGAGTCGCACCAACCACGTTGGTTGACCACCTCGCCTGCCTCACTGGCCCTCGAAGACCACCAGTCCCCCCTCGCAGGCCCCATTTAGTCGTTTGGTCAGAAATTCTCAGTGGAACAGAAGGGAGGTGGGAGGGAAAGAGTGACATCCTAGCTAATCAGAACCATTTCTAAGGTCAAATTGGCTCCATTTTACAGAAGGGGAAACTGAGGCACAAAGAGGTCTAATTGTCTAAAGCCAGGGTTAGACTAGAAAGCAAATTTTCAGATGCCCAGAGCTCAAGGGGTTCTTTCTTCCCACTTCATAGTTAGGGAAAAAATTTCCTTCATTTCATTGAGTTCCCAGTTCCCTTCTGACATGTGGGCCTGGACCCCCTTTCTTACAAGCCTATCCTTCTATCCTTCCATCCATCCATCCATCCATCCATCCATCCATCCATCCATCCGTACAACCAACAACCAGTTCCTGCCCCCCCCCATTCATCTTTGTTTCTGGGTTCACACCTTTTAATTTCTGCTGGATGGCATAGCGCGCCTTCCTCTCCTGGTCCAGTTCGTTACACAGGGTATCTGGAAGACATGAAAGTACTATGAGCAAACACAGACCATCCTCCAAGCAGACCGGCCAGGTCACAGCCAGGGCCACAGTCTGTCGGGGCAGAACTAACTCCGGAAACGGAGAAGAGGACACTAACACTTCAAACTGCAGGCTGGGGGTGGGGGAGGAAATGGCCTGGGATGGCGCTTAAAGGCAGACGGATCTAACCAAAATTAAAGCAAACTTAGGCATTACTTCCCAGGTAATTTTACGCCTCGATTTTTAATTTAGAAACCATGGAAATTGCCGCGCTAAGAAGTTCAATCACTCCATGTAATGATGCCTGCAAGCCGTTTGCTGGGCTCGCTTGCCATTCTGAGGCTAATCAGACTATACAAAGGATATTAAATAAAAAAAATAATTGTTAAATTACCTTCAATTTAAATCCAAATGACTGAGCTAACATTGCAGCTCCTGCCAGACGAGAGGCAGTTACGGCGGTGCATGCGCTCACCTGACTCCCGTCTTACCTCTGACAATTTGCAGCTGTTGCACCATTTCTTCCCGATAAGCCAATTCCCTCTTCATTTGATCCTGAAAATTATCTGTGCAAATTGATTAAGTGAGAGCTGTTAAGCACAGCCTCCTCTCCCAGCTCCACTTCCCGCTCCCTCCCATCCTCACCCCTACTCCCACCCCCACCCAGTCCTTCACCTAGCTGGAAACACTAGAAACTGGAGTTCTTCTCTCCCCTGGGACAAGTGGTGGCTGCAGTCTGCACCCAGTTCCTGGAGCAGGTTCGGGAAGTGGTGTTGTGGGATCGGGAAGAAAGGACCTACCTTTGAGACTCTGGAATTCCCGCTCCAGCTTCTTTCGAAGCTCCATTTGCTCCAGAAGCAATTTCTGCAATTCTTCTGTGAGGGGAGACAGGTAAAGGGAGACTGAGAAAATCCAGAGGGCCCACCCAGGCCAAAGTTCTGCCCTGGCCAACAGTCCTGACACCTGAGCAGAGGCTTTCAGCACTTTGGCTTTTATTTTTCATTTGAACTCCAAGACTTTGATAGAAGCTGGGGCCCTAGGATATTCAAATTCAAGAGGGTAGAAACTATTTTGCATTTCTGGACCATGGCTCCAGGAAGTAATTGGAGCCTGACATCTGCTTTAAGTTGCTCCTAACTCCCCAACCTCAGAAGATGACCCACAAAACACTATTCCCCATTTCAAATGACACTTCTAATCTCTTTAAAGACAAATCAGATAGAATATGATCAAATCCATGGACAGTCTTCCTAGAGAAGAAGACATACACAGAAAGTTTGTTTACAATTTCAAGGGGTGGCTTTGAAGTTTTGGCATATCCTGTAAAATCTGCAACTAGGGAGATTGGAGGACTACTGCCTCCCCCCCCCCCCCCTTCCATTGGCCTGTGTGGGCAAGGCTTAGTTCAATTCCTCTAGAAGCCTGTTCTGGGGGAATGAAAGGATAAGCTGCCACCAACAGGAGGCCATTAGTATCTAGGTCCTCCCAAGGGAAGGCTCCTTTGCAATACAGGAATGTAAGATGGAGAGCCAGGCTGGAGTTCAAATCCACTGTCCCACTGTGCCATCTCCCTCTGTCAGATTAGACAGCAACAGGAGGGGTGTCCTGCTCTGCAAATGAGCTCCAACGTTGTTGCATGAAGGGTTATGCATTAATCCCAGAGGGAAAAGTAGCCTTTGATATGGTCCTGAAACAAACACCTGCCCACCACCTTGTTCTTCAGGAAAAGTTCTGTTGTTCATGGGGTTAGAGAGACTCAAACTGTCCACCAGTTACAAGTTCTGAAAATCAAGGCCCATTTTTCTTATTCATTGGGCCCTTCAAGGCAGGTACTGAGAACCCAAACCTCCAATAAACTTCCTGGGGTTTGGTCTACTAACCCTAGTCTCCTGTGGGCCTCTGTCCCAAGGATCCAGAGGGTTATCTTTTCTACTGGGTGAAATGAAAACTGATACTCTCTCCCCACCCTTCACCCCCCACTCTGTCATGCCTTTGGCATACACCCACTACAGTCCTTCTCCTGGAGGGACCCGTCTATCTCAAGCACCTCATAGCTCCATTTCACAGATTTAACCTCACCTCTGGCCAGGTTTTCTATATCTTTCTCCACCAGTTGAGTTCCTGTGACATCCAAAGTGAGCCCATCTTCACCTAGGATACAAGGGCAGGTAAGAGGGATTCTGTCCTGGAGAGAGCCTGGGAACTCTGCCAAATTAACGGCCTCTGCCAGATCTGCTGCGTTCCCACTTTCCAAAGCACTAATTTGGGGAGAAGGAAAGTGGGCTCAGGAAGATGAACCCTGGCAGGAAGCAACCTTTGATCTATTCTAGGTGAATGAGGTGGTCCCCCTTCCCTTTCCTTTTAGCAGGGACTCCCTCCCTTCCTCAGAAGACCCTCAAAGCCAACAAAGAAGAAACAAGACCTAAAACCCGGCCTGCACCTCCCCCACAACATCAACTATCGGTTCAATGGCACCATTTCCTAACGATTAAAACCTTCCTCCAAGCCTGTGGTGACCCTGATAAGTTGGATCTCAGCTCAAGGCCACCGGTGCCAGGACTGTTGGGGCTTACCTCGCTCTGTATTAGCAGGGCTTGGCTGGGAGACACTCCTTTGGTCTGATAAGGATTTCCTAGTGTCCACGTCGTCGGCTGTCGTCGAGTGATTGTCTTCCTTATCTGGCTCTAAAAAGCAGGCTGAGTTTCAAGGAGAGGCAAAGAAACCGTGACCCGGATACTACAGAGCGGCCTCGGTTGGGGCGCCCAAGCCCTAATTAAAAACGTTGTGGCCGCCTCTGGTTCCCGGCTGTGCGCCCAGGCGCGCGCCCTGAGGCTTTGTGCCTCCCACCCCCTCCCCTACACAAAGTCTGCTCCATCCTAGCTTCACGCCCCCGCCCTAGCCTCTGGCCCCCAGGAAAAGATCAAGACAAGCAGCTGAGCCCACCAGGGACAAGCGACCTACATTGCGCGCGCAGATACTGGGGCACCGGGAGAGCGCGCGCGTGGCTGCCGGGTTTGTTAGCGCGACTCCAGGGGAGACCCCCAGCCAAGGGTGACCTTCCGGGTGTTGTTGGTGGTTTAGGGGGACATTGTCTTGCACACGGATGCGTAGATCTGCTTGGATTTCTGTTGCCCAGCCCCCAGCCCCAGCCCCTCTCTTCCTCGGCTAACAACCTGGTCCTAAATGCAAATGCAGGGCTGGTCCTTGATTAGAGCAGCAGTTAATGCCAAGCTTCTGGGGTACCCAAGCGCACAGCCAGTAGCCATCACCCGGCACCCAGATCAGGCCTCGCCAACCACGCAGTCTAAGGCTGAGCGCGTTTCTGGATAAATGAAAGCACCTGAAGGAGATGCCTGCCAGGCGTAGGTTTTAGAAAGGTTTGAAAGGTTAAAATCTCCGATGAGGTGTGCTGGAGTGTGTGCGCTTGTGGAAGTGCGGAGGATGGGTCGTGATTGTTGTTCACGGAGCATGGGGAATTCACAGTTTCCTTTTTCTTCTATTGTTGTTCTTTCTCCCTCTTTTTCTCCTTTTCTTTCCGCCCCTGCCCGGTCCCCTCGCCCCCCTCCCTTCCTTGAAAGGCCCGACTTGGCCCTGGGTTCTGGCTGCACTCCCTGTACTACTAGGGCCAGAGGCCTCGGGAGGCATTACCGTGGGCCTCTGGGGTGCAGAGGTAGGAGGCCGCCGGGCCCAGCGCTGCCGCCGCAGCTGCACTCTTCACGTGTTCGTCCCTCTCAGGCGCATACACCTGCGGCGGCCAAAAATGACAGGTGATTAGGGGGACAACCATTCCCAACAGGAAGGCCCAAGGGGCGGGGTGGCAGAGGTTAGTGGGCTCTGTAGGCCTGGGCACCCAGAGCAGCGACAACACACCTTGGTTGATTTGGGACAATCTTTGGTACACACGAGCAAATTGCTTGAAACACAAAGCCGGTCTCTCAAGCCACCGGCTGTTCAAAGCCACCCCCCACGTTCAGCGCTCCTCCTTTTTAGTTACTTTTCCTCCTTAGGTCGTTCTCTGCATAAAGGATGCCTTTCTCACACAGTCAATGATTCCTGTTGTAATAAACTCAATGTAAATGTACAGGTATGCTCAGCTGCTTTCAAAACAGCCAGATCTTTCTGACCTAGTCACAACTCACTCTCTAGCCACGTTCCTGCCAATCAGAGAGCCCGCAAGCCTAGCCTTTCCAGCCAAGAGCGGTGTAGTTAGTTCCTTAGGCCTGAGTTTGAAACGACTCAGAAAACTGCTATTTAGGATGGTAGAGACTTCTTGGAGCCAGGCGTTGGTGGCGCATGCCTTTAATCCCAGCACCCAGGAGGCAGAGGCAGAGGCAGGCAGATCTCTGTGAATTCGAGACCAGCCTGGTCTACAAGAGCTAGTTCCAGGATAGGCTCCAAAGCCACAGAGAAACTCTGTCTCGAAAAACCAATAAACAAACAAACAAACAAATAAATAAATAAATAGAGACTTCTTGGCAAGAGACTGTCTTCTTCTCTTCCTACTCTCTGGTGTTCCTTGGGTGCCATCCTCATGCATGCAGGCACACTTTGGGCCTGGCCTCCAACGCGCCTTTCTCTGGTTTTGGGTCCCTTTCTCTTCTCCTCTTTCTTCCTTTAGACCTCTTTTGTTTCTCTTTCTGGGTGCCTAACGGTCTCTGCAAGTCTCCTACCCACTCCATCAACAAAACCAAAAACCAATCGCTGTTTCTGAGGCCTGCCCCCGGATTTTCCGAATCTCTCAGCCCGGGAGTCCCAGCGAGCCCACTTCCACATCGCGCCCTAAGCTGGGGCTTTGAAGAGCCACCAAACCTGCTGCTCCAGTGCCTGAACAGAACAAAATCCTAGTTCCGTATCAGGCCGCGGCTGCAGTGCACGCGGGCAGAATGGATTAAGGGAGCAGGCGCCACCCGTGGGAAGCCAGGCTCACCTTGGCCGCCGCGGGGCCTCCCAGGGGCCCGCAAGACTCCCGTAGCTCATAGCCTCCGCTTGGTGGGCTCCTCTCAGTTCTCCGCACCACGTCATCGGCCACCAGGTCCCCGAATGCGGATCTGCCAGCGGGCGGCGGCCCAAGGCGACGACGAGGGCGAGGGCTATCGCCATCAGGAGAGTCTGTGGGACCGTCTGCTCCTGAGGATGTGACAGATGGGGGCCCAGCGGACTGGTCGCCGTCTGGGCCACCTCCCGTGCTGGGTGCGCTGGGCTCGGTGTCGTCCGGGGCACCCTCCTCGTCGGGGAAGCGGTTGGACTCTACGTCCACCTCAGGTTCGTCCGCGGTGTCCACGTCGGGCGAGGCAGAATGGTAGCTGGAGCTGCCCTCGCTCAGGAAGTCCGGGCTCACATAGCCTCCTCCGGTCCCCGTGCTC